CAAGCCCCCCAGCCTGCCCCAGCCAGGCCAGCGCCCGGCCAGTCGGCGCAGCCAGCGCCGCACCAGGGTCCCCAGGGCACAGTGCCAGCCCCCCACGGCTGGTCTTATCTCCTCACACTGCCAGCAGGAAAGGGAACAGCATGGGCAAAGGCACCTGCCCGTGGCCCACCACGGCCTGTCCCACGCCAGGAGGAAGCAGAGCTGTAATTTCCCTCCAGGACAGCGTGCCCCCAGATGAAACAAGGCCAGAGCGGCCTCCACCGCGGGGGCTCCGTCACCAGGGGGGACACCAGACCCTTCCCTGCAGCCCTGAGCCACAGCCATCAGCCAGAGTCCTTAAAGGACCTTTATCTCCACCACCTGCACGAGGTGAACCACCAAGCTGTGTGGAGCCAAGGTCAGAAACACGCCTCAAGTCCCCAGCACCCGCGAGGAGGTGGCCAGTGGGGGGTTTTATTTCCGATCCAAACGTTCTCTGGATCTTTCTGAACTCGGGCGAGCAGCAGATGCTGCCGAGCTTCCCTCCAGGCTTTGCAGGTCCCTGCAGAGGCCTCCTGGGCCAGCCCCAGTGGGTCACACACGCAGCGAAGCACAAAAGGTCAGTACCTCCCAAGGGGCAGAGGGTGTCGTCCTCGGGTCGGCCGTCCTGCCCGTCAGCCGCGCCGCGGGGCTGCCGCTCCACCCAAAACAAGGGGGGGGTCTCTAAGGGGCAGGCACTCCTGCTGGCACCATAACGGCTCCACTGTACGCCCAACTGAAAGAAAAAAGGAAATTAAAGAGGAAAAGCTGGATGGGATAACAGCCAGGCCTGGGGGCTGCTCTTGCCACATGCAGTTTTAAGGAGGCGTTTGCCCTCGGTTCCAACGACCCGTGGAGGTCCAGCCAAGGCCCGAGGGAGCGACCACGTGGGCAGGCACAGGATCCTCCTCCACACCCCCCGTGCTGAGGCACCTCTGGGCACGAGGCCACCGGTGGTAGCACAGCAAGGCCAGACCCGGGATGGCTCCAGGGGTGAGGCCAAACCTTTACTGTTCTGACAAAGCCTTGCCACCGTTTAATTTCCTTTTTTGAAAGCTGAGCAGTAGGGCTGCTCTGGAGAATCCTCCTCAGCCCCTCAGCAGAGTAGAAGCACTAGCAGTGGGCACCGAAGCCGTTATGATGTCAACATGAATGCTCCCCAAACACCAGCCCTGCCAGCACCAGCTCCAGGTCTCCAGATCCTACGACTCCCAGCTCCGAGCAGCGGCAGGGAGGGAGACTCAGGAGGACTAAGGTGGAGTTGGGATTTCCTAGAAATGTTTTGCTATTGTTTCAGAACAATGATCCCCAGCCCGGGGACTGGGGAAGAGAATGCAGAGCTCCGGATGCAGAGATGAGATCAGACAGGGCACCGTGTGCCCTCCCCCTGCTCTGCAGCACCACCTGCTGCGGGACTGCTGGATGCTCCCGGAGCCACGGGACCTCTGCGCCCAGTAGCCACCCAGGGAGAAGGAGGGAAGACAGGAAGGATGTCCCACACAGATACAGGACATTGCTCTGTTTTGCAAGGAATAGAAAGTACAGCTCTTGGACCAAACCCACTCCAGTTTGGCTCCAAAAACCTCACTCAACAGGTTTCTGACTTTGGAGGGAGGACAGCTCGCCCTGCTGCTGAAGCTGCTCGCAGAACATCAGCCTGTTGCAAGTTAAACCCAAGCAGGAGACACGTTCCAGAGTTAATGGCCAAAAGGAATTGAAGAGGAGTGGATGTGTGAGCCCTCCAAGCTGGGCCAGCAAAGGGAGCTAAGTGCCTGCCCACAGCAGAGACAAACCCTGCAGCCCAGCCCCGAGCAGCTGCTGGCCACGCTGGCCACCTCACCCCCTCCTCACCCAGCCACCAGGGGAGACGGGTGACCCACAGGAACAGAGTCCCTGCCAGGGGCTCCCAGTGCCATGGCTGATCCCTCCTGCCACAGAGGAAAGATGCACCCTGGCAGCCAGCCCCAGAGGAAGGCAGAGGATACAAAAGCTGATCCTAGTGCGACCTCCTTCCAGCAGCACCTCTGCAAGAGCAGAGGGGAGCACTGCAGACACCCCGGGAAGTGCTGACACTTCTTGCTGACCAGACACGCTGGGGTGGGACACAGAAGTTACCCAGAGGCACAACTGGGTTCCTCTGCAGCAGCAGCTCCAGACACAGGCAACCAGCTTTCACAAACCTCTGTCCAGAGCTAGCAACACCCCACACCCACGCTCCGCTGCCGAGTGCCTCCCCACCACCCCTTTTCCTTGAGAAAGAAGAAGGGGGAAAAAACAGCAGAAAGAGCAACGCCCGGGGCACATCCCCCTCCCGCGGCGCTGGCACTTACTCTGGAGTTTTTTAAAGTGCTGGGAGTGCTGTCAGGGATGGCGGGGTTGCGGGAGAGCCGGGAGGCGAAGGGCTCGTACATGTGGTAGAGGGAGCGGATGACGCAGGCCCGCAGGCAGTGCAGCTTCTCCATGGACTCGGGGCGCAGGCGCAGCGGCAGGTAGGCGTCCAGGCTGTAGTGCCTGCAGACAAACCCCACAGCTTGAGGGCTCAGACATCAGTGCTGAGAGAGAACTGGATCAAACCCACTCTAGTTTGGCTCCAAAAACCTCACTCAACAGGTTTCTGACTTTGGAGGGAGGACAGCTCGCCCTGCTGCTGAAGCTGCTCGCAGATCATCAGCCTGTTGCAAGTTAAACCCAAGCAGGAGACACGTTCCAGAGTTAATGGCCAACAGGAATTGAATTGTGGAGCAGAGGTGCTCCACGGGTGCTGGAGGAAACCACATCACAGCCTCAAAGGCTCGGCCCAGGTTTGCAGCACACCCAAGCTTCTCACACCACAGTTCCCCCGTAGGAGCTTGCAGAGGGTTTGCCCCAGATCTGATGGTGTTGGGTGCCCAAGGTCCTGCAGGGTCCTGCAGGTTCAAGGACTGAGCTTGCTGGGCACTGCCTGAGCAGTCTGAACTCCTGCACCCCAGGGTCCTTCTCTGATCAGGTGCCAAAGGAGCCTCTGCTTGGGCAGCCCACCCAGGAACAGGGATGAGGGTGACCAGGGCTATCTGCTGTGTGCTCCTGCTGCCTGGGCAGCACCTGAGAGAGAGGTGAAGAAACTGTTCTGTCCTGAGGGAAGGTCCAAGGGCAGAAGGATTTGTTTCAAGTTTTGACCACCTCCTTGCTCCTCTTCTCCTACGTTGTTAATAACTTACTTCTGCTACTGAGACAGCTCCAAAATGCCCCAGTTTCTCTAGGCCACTGTAATCACAGGAAGGTGGCCACGACCAAAGCTTCAGGCAGGGCAAGTTCTCCACCAGTGACATTTGCCTGTCTCTCACTCAGGCAATGGCACTGACCTTCCCATACACACTTTGGGTGCTTCACACACACAGCCCAGTGTTAAAAGAGGAGCATGGAGCCCACAGCATGCAGAAAAGCACACAGTGCTTTGAGATTTTATACAGGGCCTGCATTAATATGCCCCACAGATCCATGTCCAGGTCCAGAGCAGATGTGATATACCACAGCACTTGTCAAAGGAGGACCAGGTCACCATGTCAATCTGCAAACATGATGGGACCCTCATCTAAAGGGAACTATTCACAGGATCCCAGCCTGGTGGGGTTGGGAGGGACCTCTGGGGATCATCTCATCCCACCCCCCTGCTCCAGCAGCTCCCCCACAGCAGCATGCCCAGGGTCACAGCCAGGCAGGTTTGGGATCTCTCCAGAGCAGGAGACTCCACAGCCTCTCTGGGCAGCTGCTCCAGGCTCTGCACCCTCACCCCAAAGAAGTTTCTCCTCCTGCTCAGGTGGCACCTCCTGGGTTCCAGTTGGTGCCCGTTGCCCCTTGTCCTGTCCCTGGGCACCACTGACCAGAGTCTGGCCCCAGCCTCTTGCCCCCCAGGGCCCTTTAGCTCTTGCTCAGCACTGATCAGATCCCCTCTGAGGCTTCTCCTCTCCAGCTGAACAGCCCCAGGGCTCTCAGCCTGTCCTGGCACAGAGAAGCTCCAGGGCCCTCAGCATTTTTGTAACCTCTGCTGCTCCAGCATCCTGTTGTCTGTCTTGAACTGGGGGGCCCAGCACTGGACCCAGTACTCCAGAGGTGGCCTCACTGGGGCAGAGCAGAGGGGGAGGAACCTCGACCTGCTGCCCACACTCATCTGCACGCAAACCTTATTCCCACACTTAGAGCTCTGCAGAGAGCTGTTCACTGCCAAAGCCTCCTCCAAACAGTTCACAGCCTCTCTGGAGCCTCACCTTCTGTAGAGCCTGGTCCAAAAGGCAGCAGTGCAGGTTACAGTCCAGGCCTTCTTGCAAATCAAAGAAAACCTGACAATGTCTTCGGGGCGAATGTAGGAAGCCAACAGCAGCCAGATATCAATGGGGTATTCTTCTCCACCACCCCCATCAGGGTTTTCTAAACACAAGGAAGGTATGTTAGTGCAGTAAATAACTTTCATCAAGTCCCACCTAGAGGCACGTGCACAGGGTAAGCAGCTGAAGGATGTATAGACACAGTCAGCCAAACAAGCCCAAGTTGGTACAAATTCACTATCACAACAGAGCCACTTCTCCCAAGGAACCAGCAACAGGACAAGAGGAAAAGGGCTCAGGTTGTGCCAGGGGAGGTTTCTGTGGGATATTACAAAGAATTTCTTTCCTGAAAGAGTGATGAGGCACTGTCCCAGGCTGCCCAGGGAGGTGCTGGAGTCACCAGCCCTGGAGGGGTTCAAAACACGTGTAGATGTGGCACTTGGGGACATGGTTTGGTGCTCATCACAGAGCTGGGTTGGCAGTTGGACTTGATGACCTTCAGAGGTCTTCTCCCACATGAAGTTTTCACCAGTTTTCACACACATGCCCACCCTCAAGGCCATTCCACCTTCCCTTGCTGGGCAGGCAGCACTGCTTAGCCCAGCCACCCTGGTCACACAAGTGTGTGAGGTGGCAGATCCAGAGAGTAACTCTGCTGAGAGGCTTCTCTGGAGGGTTCTGCTCCAAACAGCCCAGCCTGGAGCAGGCTGACCCTGAGCTTTTTGTTCTGGGTCTCATCCAGCTGAGTTCTGAGTGTATCCATGGATGGAAACCCCCCCAGCCTGTCTGGACCCTGTGTCAACACCTGAGACCTTCACAGCTAAAAAATAAGTGGAGATAGGAAAATTAGATGGTGAATAGAGGGGAGAGTTCAGGGAAAGGATGGCCAAGCTCAGGAATATTTATCAAAATTGCTCATTTAACAGGTCATCAAAAAATGGTTAACTCTGGAAGTCCCTGAACATCCAGGCATTGCCATTCTTTGGTTTTGTAGGAGCTCTGTGAGGGAGGGCAAGTGATTCTCTGCAGCAACTGGATAATCTGCTGCCCTTCTTAAATCTGTAATTTCATTAAAGCTTCTTGGATGGATGAGTTTTAATGCAATTCAGCCTGTTCTTCACCTCAGAGGTGTCAGAACTGCTCAGCCAGAACTGAAGGGTCAGAAACTCCCTTTGTTCCTGGAGCATTTTTCAGTTAACACCACAAGGTTCTCCACAGACACTGCTCCAACTTTAGGAGAAAAAAAACCTTCAAAGAACATAAATAGCTAAACACTGAACATTAAGAGACAGGAAACATACAACCTGTACACAGTGCTGACAGAAGGAATTGCTACAAGGTTTGCTAAGTGGCATAAAGGAGATGGTTAAGAACCTGGGGGTGCCAGATCCAATCCTCAGACAGCAGGTTAATTAATATCAAGGGGCAGGATTTATCCTCATGTGTTAATTGCTGTGTCCATGGCCAAGGAAAGCTCTGGATGTGACCCCTTCCCTGCACCACTACAGATTTACAGCAGGCTGTAACACCCACTTTGCTGTTCAGTTTGGACTTGAGAAGATCCAAAGCACCCAGCTGCTGGACTGCAGAGCAGCCAGGGGCATCACTGGGCTGCTGCCACTGTCTCTCCCCTTCACAAGGAGCAGCAGTAAGGCTGTGGTGGAAGAGAACAGTGTCTTCCCACGCTTGTAACTCCCTAACTCCAGCCACTGGGATATTCTTATTTTCCCAGGCTTCAGGAGGATGTCTTAACTAGAGCACAAGGCTGTGAGGAGCAGCTGAGGGAGCTGGGGGTGCTGAGCCTGGAGCAAAGGAGGCTCAGGGGAGACCTTCTGGCTCTGCACAGCTCCTGACAGGAGCCTGGAGCCAGGGGGGGGTCGGGCTCTGCTCCCAAGGGACAAGGGACAGGACAAGAGGAAAGGGCCTCAAGCTGCCCCAGGGGAGGTTTCAGTTGTCCCTGAGGAACAATTTCTTGCCCTGGAGGGTTGCCCAGGGCTGTGCCAGGCTGCCCAGGGCAGTGGTGGAGTCCCCACCCCTGGAGGGGTTTCAGCACCATGAAGATGTGGTGTGAGGGACATGTTTTAGTGGTTCCCTGGCAGTGCTGGGGGAGTGGTTGGACTTGATGATCTTAAGAGTCATCTCCAGCCAACAGGATTCTGTGAGAAGTGAGTAACCTGTCCCAGAGGAGCACTGTGCACCTCCAGCCCCTGATGGATGTGGATGCATTACATAAACGAGTTCCAGCATCAATAAAGCTTTTCTTCAGCTTAAAATTTGTTTCCCAACCTGAAAACAAACTGCTATTGGAAAACCCTGGAGGAGCACAGTTTGTTGGGCACCCTGCATTGCAGATTCTCTGTGGAATTGCACAACGTGGCAATGCTGAAGGGTACAGCTCCCTGGGATTAACTTAACACAATGCCACCAAGCCCCAACTCACCTCCTTCTGGAAAAAGAGCCTCTAAACTCACTGGGAACAAACCACAGCCTTGGAAATGGCCTGAAGACAGAGCTTGGACTTTGCCAGCAAAGGCATCCAGGACAGCAGCATTCCCTGGTTCCACCCCAAAGCAAACCCTGCTTTCACCACCTCCAATGAGGCAGCACAGCCAGTGGCAGAATTTCACAGCTCTTTCCAAGAGCAACGTTTGGAGGAGCCCTCAGGCTTTGATTTCATGCCCAAAGCTCTGCTTTGGTGAGCAGACAACACCTTGGAGTCCCAGCAGGCTTAGAAGTGACTTAACCCTCGGCCCTGCTTTGTGCACATACAAGCTGCACAAGGAAGAGCCTCAGGAGCAGCCAGAGGACAGCAAACATGGAGATCTCACAGGCAGCAGAGCAAAAGCAGCCACGGTACCTCTGTGCCTCTGGCTCTTCTTCTTCCTGGAGGCAGCTCGCCCGGGGCCGTTCTCCTTCGCGTCCGTCTCGTCGCTGCTCTCACAAGACTCTCCTGACAGGGACAGAACCTCCTCAGCAGGGACACAAGAAGCTTCCAGCCCACAGAGGGATTTCACTAGAACGACAAGCAAGGACACAGTACAGCAGCAGAGAGGAAAAGGTGATGTGAGTTCAGTGGAAGCACTGCTAAGAACACCGGCTGCGTTAAAGCTCTCTGGTGAGTGAGCCAAGCAGGAAATCCTGGGCCCCAGGATTACCCTGTCAGAGAAAGATCAGCACAGGGGAGTGAACTGGAAACAGAGTTATTCAGCTTCTGGTTTTCAGGAATGAATAATGAGGATGATTACTAGCACATTATGCAGATGATCCCATTGGTTTAGCTGAAGCTGTTTACAGTTCTGAATAAAACAACAGGCTCTGTTTTTTTCTGCAGCACTAACTGGTTGCCCTGCATACCAGAGTGTCCTCACATGCCCACTGCTGAGCCTGCAGAGCCACCACCTCCCCTGGATCCACTCTGGAACGCAGAGAAGACACGTTCCCTCTCAGCAGGACAAAGGGAACCTGCAGCTGA